CCCTTGGGAAGACTCACCACAGCATTCCTTCCTGCCCCTCCTTTCCCAGTGGCCATCCTCCTTTCCTTCCCCTTAGTTCCAAAGGGACTAGGCTTTCAGCGATTACCTCTGGAGCCCTCCCACATCTGTTGAGTGCCCTGAACTGAACACAGGGTTCCTATTTATTGATTTCAATGCACACGAGCTTTGATCATCGCGGAGCTGCGCATGCGAAGGGCTAGCCTCGCAGCATGAGTGCAGCAGCTCTCCCGCTTGCCAACTTATAGGAATATTTGGAAGATGAGTAAAATAATGTCTTCCATATGCTAGGAAGAAGATGCTTCAGCCCCACGCAAGGTACGGTGAAAAAGCCCCCACTTATTAACAGACTGGCCTAGGTTAAGCTGCTCCCTGCTCTAGGCCTCGGGGACCTCATCAAACATAGGAGCGGAGTAAAACCCTGGTGCTCACGGACCGTGGCGGTGAGGACCGACGAGGCAGTTCCTGCCTTTGGCAATGGCTCGTTCCGCTGGCCCCGTGCTCATGCAGGTGCCTGCTTGTTCTTTCAGAGGAGAGTGCAGGACGTCATCAGTCCGATTGTGTTCGAAGCGGCCTACAGCCTCGGGGAGCATGTGACCGGAAAGGAGGAGAAGGAGCTGCCTGCCCTGACGCCAGTGCTCCGCTGGAAGAAGGGACAAAAGATCGCCCAGAAGAATCAGGTCAGAACTAAAAATCTATCGCTGTGAACAAGGGGGGTGGGCGGAGTGGAGGACCAAAGCCCATCTGTAGACAAGTAGACATCCCTTACAGAAAGGTCAATCAGGGTGCAGTTTAGCACCGACGAAACATACAACTTTCCTCTAGTTCTTTAATGCTTCCTCCCGCCGACTATCATGATCCCAATTCTACCTTACAAATCCAGCTAGACCAGAGCATGTACATGGATACAGATAGGAGCTGGAAACACAGGGAATCCAGGACAGATAAACCCTTCAGGACCAATAATGAGAGTAGCGATACCAGGAGAGGAAGGGGGGGTGGGGGAGAAAGGAGGAACCCCCTCCTAGATGAGATGGAAGAGTGCTGATGGGTGAAGCTCAGAGTGGTTGAGGGGAGACCAGGAGTTTACATCTACCCATGGAACAGAGACTAACTGGGACCAGTCAGGACAAAAGTGAGATGTGACCCTGAAAGTGAGGGAGCGGTGATAGTGGACGTTAGTAAGGGACGCGTTGGCTTCGCCCCTGCTCCACGCCGACAGAATGTCAAGCAGCCAGGCATTTTCTCCTCTGAAAACCATCAGGAAGTTGATGACTTGTAGCTGAATAAATGAGTGACACAGGAGAGTGTAGGTCAGTGGTTCTCCACCTTCCTAATGCCACGACCCTTTCATTCAGTTCTTCATGTGGTGGTGAGTCCAACCATAACATTATTTTCGTTGCTACATCATAACTGTCATTTTGCTACTGTTACGTATCGTAATGTAATTTTCTTATCTGCAGGATATATTTTCATTGTTACAAATTGAACATAATTAAAGCATAGTGATTAGAGCATTAAGTAAAGCATTTACCCAGTAATTATAATTCATTAAGTGTCCTTTTACCTCCAGTACTGCTGCTTTCAACACAGCAGCTGCTTTCTACACATGTGTGACTGGTCCGCATAAGCACATGATGGTGCCAACCCCGTCACATACACCCTGTACAAATACAGGTGTATGTGACGGGGTTGGCACGATGATGTCATCTTCATGTGGGCGGACTCACCTGGAGATGGATAGAGGAGCGGGTGTCTCATTCCTAAGACCATCGGAAATATGTGCTTTTCGATGGTCTTAGGCGACCCCTGTGAAAAGGTTGTTCTACCCCCCCAAAGGGGTCTCAACCCACAGGTTGAGAACCGCTGGTGTAGATGGTCTGGTTCCCAGAGGAAAGCCTTCCTTCGGGCATTTGGAGCCTCCAGTAAAAGGGGTGGGGTGGGAGGGGAGGGGGCTGGTGGTGTCATGGTTACGAATTAGGCAAGATATGCCATTGGAAACCGCCAGCAGCGCTACAGGAGAAAGACGGGGCTTTCTACTCTGTAAACAGAGTTGCTTCATGGAAACTCCCGGGGAGTCCCACCCTGCCCTGCAGGGCTTCTGTGCATCAATAGGGACTCAATGACCGGGAGTACAAGGGTGCGCTGCCTCCTACCACCCACCCAAACGCATCTACAGATTTCCTAATAGGCTTCTTCCCTCATTCATAAATACAAGTGGACAGTCCCAGAAACCTGCGTTTTGAAGGAAAATGTGGTGCATGAAGGAGAAAGACCAAAATAAAGTAACAGAATGATAACTCAGAAGGAAAAGTGATATTTCGGGGGATAGAAGAGGTTCTTTAAAACCGCAACAGCAACACAGTGAAGTGTATGCAGTAAACAGAAGTAAATTAAAAGAACATCTTCCATCTGTTAGAATGGGAAGTGTTTTCTTCTTAGACTGAAGACTCCTAAAGTTAAGAAAGAGGTTCTTAAAAATTAAGGGTATGGGTACCGAGCCCAGTGGAAGAATTCAAAGACAAGGCTCAGAAATGTAGTGAGGAGAGTGAACGGACAGATACACGTGAAATGAAAAGAGAGCCAAAGGATCGATCTAAGGCACCACCGCAAAATAAGAGCAATACCAGAAGAGAAGGGGAGGGAGCCCTAAGAGATACAATGGGAGAGAATGTCCCTGTTTATAAGAGTGAGAACTGTTTTCAGATATAAAGCCTCTCTCACTTTGCCATCAAGTCAATGCTGACTCATAGAAACCCCCTGTGGGTTTCCAAGATTGTAACTGTTTACGGGAGTAGAAAGCCCTGTCTTTCTCCTGCAGAGCTGCTGGTGGTTTTGAACTGCTGACCATGCGGATCGCAGCCCAACTGGTAACCATTACACCACCGGCGTTTCTAATGTTCAGTTATAAAGGCCCATCAGCTCACAAGCAGAATAAATCTGAAAGATCTTGAAATGTCCATGCTCAAAAGACTAAAGGAAAATTCCGAGTTGTCCTAGAAGACTCACTTGAGCTCACTATGGAATAAGAGACTGAGTAGCCCACTAACTTCCCATCATGAAGATTAGGAACAGGGCAGTATGTAATAGGATTCCAAAAGGTCTCATTGAACGTAGGCACCATATAAACTCGTGTATGAGCACAGTGATCTAGCACATTTTTATGCAGTTTGTGTGATAAAATTAGGTGCTGCAGCTGATACTTGGGTTTGCTTATACTCGAGTATATACGGTAATTTTGAAGTTGGAATTTTACTGATGGTTAAGTATGAGGTTGAAATGTGCTAGTGTTTCTTTTTAACTTTGGGGTATTTTCTTCTACTATATCTCTTGTCATTCCCTCTTATAACGTCAGTTGTTCAGAATAGATAGGACTCAAAGTTTACTGCCCTAGTAACCTCCCAAGAAAATTACCTGAGATGCAATTTCTGATAAAACAAGACTGGCAGCAATGAACAGCACAGTGTGGCACACGAGAGACTCTGGAACGGACCCTCTGGACCCCCTGACAAGAAGTGCCAGGACCACAGCTGCAGCAGGCAAGAAAAGCAGAAAAGCGGATCCAATTGAGAGCAGAAGATCAATGAGCAGGAAGAATGAAGAAGCAACAGGTAGAATGAATAGAAACTGAAAAATACGCAGGGTACTCTGCTGACTTAAAGTATTTTTTTCTGTGTGTACAAAAAGAAAGGCGACCAAAAACTCCAGGAAAAACAGAAATATGTTCAACGTGTCATGTTTTACATGTAAAATAAAACACAGTGGGATTTGGTGAGTCTAAGGAAGTCATGTGTATGTGACCTTAATCAAAGAGAAGAAGTGGAGCATTCTGGAATTTTAACTCTGGAACTGTGGAGAAGGGTATGCGTCCTGACCTCGTTTAGACGCTACTGTGACCAGTAATTAGCAGCTGTAATAACGAAAGCATGGTGTGCTGGTTTTAGTATTGACAGCCAGGCCAAAACCGAGCTCTAGTTTAGGATAGAATTTAAATGTCATTCAATTGTACTATATGGAGGTGCAGGTAGAACTGGCAGGCGTGTTTGTAATATTGTTGTGTTTTAAATCATTGAACCATACTGATGGTAAAAGTAACCAAAGGAAGGAGCTCTTTATTATTAAAATTGAGGTAGCCAACAAAGAGAGGTTCTTGAAGTGTAAGGCCCACACCAGCCACATCAGCATCAATGGAAACTTGATTAAAAAATACAGATTCCCAGGCCCTGCACCACACCTATTGAATCAGAAACTCTGGGAGTGGAACCGAGCAATCTGTGTTTGAGCAAGCCCTGCTGGTGATTCTGATGCACCCCATAATTGAGAACCACTCTGGAACTGAAACTAATGAGCTACCTGTCAAATAAATAAACTAGGAGTCATTCATTTACTAAAAATAATGTTTTACCTATCAAAATGGCACTAAGAAGAATGATTTACGTGTCAAAATTAGGATTGCGAAGGGGCCATGTGTAAGTGAGATTAAGTCTCCTGTATCCTGGCAGGAATTCAGCAGATAGCGTCTAACTCTGATACATTAAGGAGTAGCGCATTGGCATGCTTTTAGGGATATGGAAGCAATCACAGAGAGAAACATAAGCAGGCACGGGGAAGCCATGCAGAACAGAGCACAGTGTGGGGAGGTGTACAGCAGGGGGCTATTATTTTTTTTAACCATGTGATTACTGTGGTTGAAATTAAAATAAAAGAAAAATATTGCTCTTAGATTGCACAGATTTTCCAGGAGCCTGAGAAAAAATCCGGGAGAGTGATCTTTGCTTATATCCTTTCCTGATTTGGGGGTTAGGGGATGGGAGAGAGAATTTAACGATCGTCCCCCACGTGTCTTCCAGATGTTGGCTCAGTTTGCAGCAAAGAAAGACAGAGCGCAGGCTGCGCCGAGAGCAGAGCCGACAGCTGACCTGTGTGTACACACAGTGGTTCCACCAAGAGCCTCTCACTTCTTTCACAGGGGAAAGGGACTCATGAGACGCCTTTAAGTCATGTTGCCGAGTAAGCTTAGGATTGAACCCTTTTAAATGCCTTTATCTCTTCAACAAAAAGACACTGGGGCTACCCATATTGGTGCACAGAATTGTGAAGGGATTGTGCCAAATCACAGTGCAGTGGTCCGGTCCTGTAAGAAATAGTCTAGCGATCAAACTCACTGCCATCAGATCAGTGCCGACCCATAGTGACCCTAGAGGAGCAGGTAGAAGGGCCGTGGTGAGATTCTGAGGCTGCATCTCTTTACAAAAGTAGAAAGCCTCTCTCTCCCAAGGAGCACCTGGTGGTTTTAAACTGTCGACCTTGCGGTTAGCAGTCTAACTCATAACCCACTGTGCCACAGGCATGCACCTCCCCTGGAGGCTGGCTGAGAGCATGTTCAGTGCAGGCTTATTGATGAAATTTACACAGGAACTGGAGGGTGTCGGGGGTAGGCCGGAGTCTGTGTGAAGACCAGTCTTGGGAGAAGGTGAGTTTGGGTGTTAAGCTCTGAGTGAAGAGTAATGTTGCCACCCACACTGAGGAAGATTGGGATTGTTGGGTCCTCTGGGATGACAGCCCTAACACTATAGGCCTCTGTAGCACCCTGACTCCTCTAGCCGGATGAGCTTACATCTCCCATTGAAGATTTAAGGAAAGTGGAGACCTACTTACCTATTCTCGGGGGATTTCTGAA